GCCCCTTTATATAGTCGCAGACCTATAGTCTGGGGTACTAGTACAAGGGGTCCCATTATTCTAAAGATAGGTGAAACACACCGGAGCTTAGCTGCTGTGAGCCAGGTAATTGGCGAGCTAAGAAAAGCATAGGTGAAATACCTGAAATATGAAATGAGAACCAAAGTCCTGGATCGCAGATCCTGGGGTTAGAGTTTGAGAACCCTAGAAGCTGTCCTTGGTCACATAGTGACTGATATCACCTGACCGTGATTGGGCGTCTCTTCTAGGCGCTTATTCATGGGGATTACGTGACCATGAGCGACGGTATGTTTCGTAACACAAGATGTATTCCACAATGGTATCCTTCGCAGAAACGTTCTGCCAATGGGCCACCAAAACCAACTTGGGGCACACCGCACTCATCGGTTACATCTCTGAACACTGTGACAAGGACGTGCGCCAGGCAATGGTGATACGAGACAGCTTAGGTATCACCGACCCAATCACATGGCCGGAGTATCTTCACCTCTGCCTGCAACTGGAGTCGAAGTTCAGAGCTGATAAGGCAGGACACCGCAGAACTACAACGGCATCATCACCGGCACCTCGAGCTCCAAGGGACCCTAAAACAATGGCTGTGGACAGTGTGTCCCAGCTCACCAAGGAACAAGAAGGATGACTGAAAAGGAAGCTCTGTATATGCTGTGGAAAACACCCCTTTGTATTCAAGCAGTGCTGCCCTGACCCCAAGTACAAAGGCAAGCTCAAAATGCCAAGGTGGGGACAAGCGACAAGAGCAGTAACCACCACAACAATGACATCCACCAGTTCTGATGACAGCAAGGTGAGAGAGGAAGCAGTCCGTGCTTTCATTGCCAGCCACAACGTGAAGGGAAAGGAGAAAGAGGCAGAACCAGAACCAGCTGTCGAAGCAGCTAGAATCACGGAGGTGAAAGATGATGAGGATTTTCTTCGACGAGTTCTCTGAGGTCTGGCCAGAGTTCCCATAGACATTGTAACAGTACCTACTTGATCTCGCATGTACCAGTATCAGATTTTTAATACATTGCATCAACTGGTTCGTCAAAACACGCGATCAATTTACTTGTTCACCTCAAACAGGGAGTAAGGGAAGTCCAGACTGAGGTGCTCCTCGATTCAGGAGCATATTCCTGCTACATCAACCCACGGTTGGTTGATCAGTCGAAACTTGCTATGATCTCACTTGAGAAGGAGATCAGGGTTTATAATGCAGACGCATCTCACAACAAAGGTGGAACCATTAAGAAAAGGGTTCTTCTTAGTATAATCATCGGAAACCACACAAGCAGACAAAGCCTTCTGGTTACCGATATAGGTCACAAGGACATTATACTAGGCATGAGTTTCCTCAAGGAGCACAACCCAGAGATAGATTGTGGAAAACTCACAGTCGATTTCACCTGATGCCCACACAGATGTGCACCCTCACAGGTAGCAGTCCAGGAGGAGGACCTGAAAGACACAAATATCCCCCACATTGAAGAGCTGATGGAGTTCGTTGGTTCCCAGGAGTTAGATGACAACTGGAATGACATGGACAGCTTCATTAGATGGGTGTCACTATCAGAAGACCCTGACGCACAAGCTGTAGCATCACTCATTATGGGCCTCAACACCAAGAGGAATCAGGATAGAGCACCACAAAAAGGAGGACAGAACAAAGACTACTGGTCAGCCTATGTCCCCAAACACTTCCATGAGTATGGTGATGTGTTCTCCAAGAAGCAGTCGGAATGAATGCCCATAAGAAAGCCCTACGATCATCCAATCAAACTTGTTCCAGAGGCATCATTACCATGCCCGGCAAATTTATATCCTATGAACCTACAGGAAAGAAATTCACTCAACACGTGGATGGATCAAGAGCTGGCCAAAGGATACATTAAGAGATCAAGGAGTCCAACAGCAGCACCTGTCTTCTTCGTCAAAAAGAAAGACAGATCACTGAGGCTAGTACAAGACTACAGGAACCTCAACGCAGTAATAAAGAAAAACAAGTTCCCAATCCCACGTATTTCAGACCTCATCAACAGACTCTCACATGCTAGTATATTTACGAAGCTTGATCTGAGATGGGGGTTCAACAACATAAGGATTAGGGAAGGGGACGAAGAAAAAGCTGCCTTCATCATGCATCGTGGCCTCTTCGAACCTACTGTAATGTACTTCGGCTTCTGCAATGCTCCCAGCACCTTCCAAACAATGATGATTACAGTCCTTGAGGACTTAATTCGTACTGGAAAGGTGGTAGTCTACTTAGACGACATCCTCATTTTTACGGACGATCTCGAAGAACACTGATGACTAGTAAAAGCAGTTCTACAGTGCCTCCGAGACAATGACTTATATGCCAAACCGGAGAAATGCTTCTTTGAACAGTTCTCAATCAAGTATCTTGGCATGATCATCAGCAAGAACTTGGTACAGATGGACCCTGCTAAAGTCGAAGGTGTCCTTGGCTGGCCCACACCTACTAAGGTCAAACAGGTACAGGCCTTTTTAGGATTCGTGAATTTCTACAGGCGATTTATAAAGGACTTTGCAAAACTCGCATAATCTTTAACGCTTCTCACCTGTAAGGACGTGCCTTGGCAATGGAAGGAAGAGCAAGAGCAAGCCTTCAGTGCACTCAAAATGGCATTCACTTCAGCCCTGATCCTACAACTCCCCAACGATACTGCACCCTACTGACTGAAGACAGACTCTTTAGACTATGCAACCAGTGCAGTACTCAAACAACTGAGAGAAGATAAGCTATGGCATCCAGTCGCATACTACTCAAAGTCACTCAACGAACATGAGCGAAACTACAAAATTTATGACAAAGAGATGCTCGCAATCATTCGGGCACTAGAAGAATACCGGCACTACTTAGAAGGACACCCAGAACTCATTGAAATTTGGTCAGACCATCTCAACCTTACATACTTCCGCCAGGCACAGAAGTTATCCTGGAGCCAAGCGTGCTGGGCATTATTCCTCACATGTTTCAATTTCACACTCAGTCACCAACCTGGAAAGACAATGCTACATGCTGATCCTCTGTCCAGGAGGCCAGACCATGAGAGGGGGGTAGACAGCAACAATTCAAACCAAATGCTGTTAAAACCTGAATTTTTCGCTATCAATGTGATTCGACCCGCTCACGCATCTGAAGTTGATGATGCTCAACTACTGGAAAGGATCAAGAAGGCACTCACAGACAACACGATGACCAAGGATTATTGTGCGCTTTTGACTACAGGACAGCACGAATTTGGAAAAAACCTCGCAGAATGGAATTTTGAGCATGGACTGCTACTCCATTGTGGAAAGGTTTATGTCCCCAAGGATCAACAGCTATGCCTTGACCTAATAAAGCTCCACCACGACACTTTACCAGCCAGACACCCAGGCAGGTTCAAGATGTTGGAGCTTATTACTTGGAACTATTGGTGGCCAGGAATGTTGGTAATGGTTAAGCAATATGTACAAGGTTGTGACAGTTGTCAATGCAACAAGTACTCAAGAGAAAAACCATTCGGACTATTACAACCCAATGAGGTACCAGGAGGACCATGGGAGATCATCACAGTTGACCTCATCACACAACTTCCTCCAGCCATGGACTTTAGGGGAGAGAAGAAGATGGCAATACTTGTCATCATAGACAGACTCACGAAACGAGTGCATTTCTATGCAATGGATGACACAATCACATCGTCACAAGTCGCTAACGTTTTCTATAATGAGGTCTTCAAACTCCATGGATTGCCACGCCAGATTATCTCAGACAGAGGTACTCAATTTGCGAGCAAGTTATTCCAGGAGTTTTGCCAGAAGCTCAGTATAAAGTCAACAATGTCAACTGCATACCATCTCCAGACAGATGGTCAGATGGAAAGGGTTAATCAGGTGTTGGAGCAGTATCTACGCATGTACTGCAACCACAGACAGAATGATTGGGTCTATTACCTGCCAACGGCAGAATTTTCATACAACAACCAGACCCATGAATCCACTGCACTTTCCCCATTCTTTGTCGAATATGGCCGACATCTAAAAATGGCACCAGACGTACATGAATCAATATGTCACCCCTCATTGGAACATCTATTCACTCACTGATCCAAGGCACAAGAACAGGCAAAGGCAGCATTAGAAGTTTCAGCTTCACGGAT